GGTCTGCGTCAGCTCTGCCTCAGCAGACACGGTTTTCATTGGATTAATACTGGGCCCAGAACAACCCCCATTTTTAGTGTGTACTATGGAGGGAGAGAAGGAAATGTAGAACCACACTGGCTTTCCACACTGCTGTCCATGTCTTCCCCTCCTCGCCCCTGAACCACGGTTCCTGCTGGAACCTCTGAACCTGATCCAGGCCGGGAGGGGTGAAGGACACTTCAGCACGGCTGCCTGTCCCACTCATGACCGGCACCGGCGTTCTTGTGCCCAAGTCCGTATTGTCCAAACCCTGCGTGTCCACCCAGATGACTTGCCTAGTGTTCTAGCTCCTCTGAGACCGTGGCTATGCGCAGCTTTATTCACTCTTGAGCAGCGAGGGTCCTCTGTCAGACCTGAGGAAGCATAGGTCACTTCTTACCGGGACCCTCACCCAACCCCTTGCTGTCATTTTCCACTGTCTCCACCATCTGCCTTGTCCTCCTGGCACTAGACAAACCCCCCTTCTGCCCCCATGCAAGTAGCCATCCCTAGGAGGAACCTGTCTGGTTTCTGGATCCTGACCTCTGACACCTGATGGGACCCACTGCCCATCAAACTCTCAGTGCTTGCTTTTACATCGGAATCACCCCATGAGCTTTTTAGGTATGCAGATGCCTGGATTTCATCTAGATTACTTAAAGCAAACTTTCCAGAGGTGTGTCCAGGTCACTGGTATTTAAAAGAATTCTCTAGATAAGTCTCATTTGTACCCAGGGAGGAAAGACACTACTTTATACCAATTTCTCTCAGATTTCGGTGTGCATACACCCAACCTGGGGATATTGTTAAAATGTACTTGCTTGTCTACGGCCATACCACCCTGAACGCACCGATCTCGTCTGATCTCGGAAGCTAAGCAGGGTTGGGCCCGGTTAGTACTTGGATGGGAAAATGTACTTGCTGTCGGTATGGGTAGGGCCTGAGCGTTTCAACTTCTGAGCAAGATCCCAAGTGATGTCTTTGATGTTGGTCCACGGACCACTCTTTATGGTAAGGCTCAGTGGTTCTCAAAGCGTGGTCAGGAACCACCTGGGGACTTGTTAGAGATGCAAAATCCCAGGACCCACCCCAAACTTACTAAGTCGGAAACTGGGGATGGGCCCCAGCAATCTATGTTTTGACAGTTTGAGTCCCACCGGCTTAGATGGCACTTCATGCAAGCCACATATATTATGTAAAAAATTCTGGTTGTCAGTTTTAAAAAGGAAAAAGAAACCCGTGAATTATTTTATAACAAAAATTTTTTAACCCTATGTGTCTGAAATATTGTCATCATTTCAATATAGGCCAATATAAATATTAATTTGTTAGTGTACATACTTTTTCCATAGTAAGTCTTCGCAGTCCAGTGTGTTTTTTACTCTCATATGCTGTCTCAGTTCTTACTGGCCACATGCTAAATGGTCAGTTGCCACCTCCTACACTAATAATGATCACAGCGTGAACTTTGATTGGACAGCCAACTCCTACACTAATAATGATCACAGCGTGAACTTTGATTGAATGCCTGCTATGTATCAGCCATGACTTAGCCAAGCTTCTTATGTGCATTATTTATATAGATACTACCACAACTCCAGGGATTAGTACTCTTAGTATCATTTGGTACACAGAGGAGGAGTGATGCCCAAAGCTCCATGTGGCATTTCTTCAATATAAGGAGCCCACTTTAATAGCAGCATTTCCCGATTATTTTAAATCTACTTATTTGTTTTAACAAGAAAAGGAAGTTAAAGAATACAATAGAATCACTAAGATGACTACAATTAGTACAATTGCTAAGACATCAATAGCTTATAAAAGGCATAGTAGTTGGATACGTAGAAAAGTCCAAATTTGTTATGCGTAACCTTTGAAAACATGCCTAAGGTCCAACATGCACTTTTCTGTGACATCAACTCTGGTGAGAGGTGCTGTGGGCAGGCTGGTTGGTCAGTGGGACCGTGGGGAACAAAGAAGACCTTTGGTGAGTCCCGTGGCAGGATAAATGGAAGCAGCCCGCAGGGTCATCATCTGTTCATTCAAGGGCAGGTTTTAATACGAAATGATTCCAGTAACAAAACCACGCACCGCACAGTGACATGTAGATCCACGACAGCTCTCATGTGCAGTGGTTGTCCCAAAAGATGACAAAGCAGCTGGGCATTTTCTGTCGCCTGGCGACGTCATAGTCACACACGAATGTGTTTGTGGTGATGCTGGTGTAAGCAAAGCTCCCACCTGCCAGTTACATAAAAGCATAGCTCATACAGTTACATACAGCACATACTTGTTGACAATAATAAACGGCTGTTACTGGTTTATGTGTTTACTATACTACACCTGTATCATTATCTTAGAGTATACTTTTTCTCCTTATACACAGAACGGGCAGGATCCCATCTAGCAACTAGAAAGGGGGCCGTAGGGGGCTGTGCAAAATGGGAGGCTTTTATAAGAAGAGAGTGGGACAAGGGAGCTATTGAAAGAAGAATGGATTATTTTGGGGGCAGGTCACCTTTCTTTGGGGGGGACAGAGGGGAAGGTTTTTTTTTTGTTTGTTTGTTTGTTTTTTATCATGCAGGTTGCATCTTCTTTCCATGAGGGATGGGATGTGAGGGACCACAGTGGCAGGTAACCTTACAGGGGCTTGACCAGAAAATTACAGACCGGTTGATTAAGATTCCTTTTCTGGAAGAGGTTGACATTGCAATTAGATCAGGTATTAATCTAGTTTTGTTATCACGGGCTTTTATCGGCAGTGATGCCACGTGGGGGGCCTGTGGGTTTTCTTTAACGCCGTAAAACTGTGGCACGTTACCCAGGCAGCAGCCTCATACATCTCCTGTGTTCGCCGAATCTCTTGATAGCATCGCTTTTCTCTGGTGCTTGATACCATCTCGATTTGTTTCGTACAATAGCCTGCTGTGCACAGCTCGGTGATCAGCGCGCTGTTCCGTCTAGGTTTGTGCTGAGTGCTCTCTGTGATGTTCAAACGGGACGAAAGCACCAAAGAAGCATTTCTCAGAACACAGATCTGTAAAATCGTAGTTAAACATGAGGCAGTGTATTGCTGTGGAAAACAGGCCATTTGGAATTTAAAAATAATAGTTGATTTGGTAGTCAAATAGTTCATCTTTATTAGTTCCCGTAACTTCCATTTTTCTCAAGGAAGGCCGATATGAAAATGCATTTTCTATTTATGATAAACTACTATAAGGGAAAAAAAAGTAAAAACAATTTAAAATTTTCTACCTAAAGCTAGGTGTCCTTTTTTTTTTTTTTTTTTTTTTTTTTGGTCAGAATTACCATTTGTCATTTTGACCAAGTAATGTAAATATCCTATTTTAAACGGACAGATAACTAAGACATTATCCTATGGCCATTTAAAATAAATGAAATAAACAAATGGGAAAAAATGCATTATTCTACAGAGATTTTTAAAAACCCTGCTTTATATATCTTTAAATGAAGGTAATCTTATTTTAAAATGTTGATTAGATATTTCAAACTTAAGTTGTTATTTTTTTATATTTAAATATCTGCCTAGCTTTAATATAAGTGTATTATGCTGAAGGATTTCCTATTTTACCATAGTACTTGAAATAGCAGTCATATTTGTTTTAACATAGCGTGCATAATCCTCAGTATTTTCTATAGTCAGTTTCAGTGTCTCTCTTTAATTGCAAGGAAATTGCAATTAAATCAAATTGTATTTGATCTGAGTGTCCAGTAACCAACCTTCATATTACTAATTAGAAACTATATCACGGTGGTTTTTATACTGGACTAAGGTCATAAAATCATTCATCTCTCAGCAGAGCTCACTGGCTGCTAAGCATTGTCTTCGTTATGGGGACTGGCGAGTTGTAAGGACTCAGAGTCTCATCCACCCAGAATAAAGGCTTTTACAAAAATACCCAAGTGTTTCCTTTGTAGGAAGTAACTAGCTTTCCTTCTCAGGGGTGTTAAAGGCAGAATGAAGCAATGGAAACCAGGAGTTGGTCTGATGATGCCTTAGCATTTTCCTTTAGTCATACTGTAAAGAGATTTCATCTCCAATTGCTATGGTTTGAATAGTCTCACAGTGTGAGAAAGAAAAAAAAAGAAAAGAAAAAAGAAACTGTGAATCAGTTCTATCTTTATTCTCGCTGCATTTGTGTGCTGTAAACCATCGGAAGGAAAGATGCTATATATTTTGCCTACTCTATTCTTGAAGTGCCTGGCATATACTAGGTTAAAGAGTATGTCTCAGAAACATTTGCAGAATGAATGCATGCACGAATACATGTTCTAGATTTAATTTATAATTCTAGAAACGAAGTGAGAGGCCCTTGTTTGCTGGCCATCATTGGTGGCTCCGTCTGGGTTATGTCTTCATTGGCCTTGGTGGGAGGGCAGGGGGAATTGGTGTCTGTCTGTATCATGTCACTGAATGGTCCCCCGGCGCTGCCAACAGATAAGAAACGTCAACAGCTTAACCAAGTAGCTTTCAGAAATAGCCTACTTGATGAAACTGGAAATTTGGGTGGATGCGTGCTAGAAACAAACCATTTGTCTTCCATCCTGAGAAGATTCGGCTGACCACAGATATACCAGAGAGATGGAACCTTTTTTTTTTTTTTTTTTAAGATCCATACATAAGTGAGCAAGAAAACATCCGATTTAAAGCCTTCCCTCTCCATAAGGCATGGACAGAACATCTTGTTTTCAATGAATCTAGCAATTCATTTTGGGGAGAAACACACACACACACACACACACACACACACACACAAAACTTGGGGATACTGGCTGGGCACTCTGTTTCTTTAAGACTCCAGTCCAGCTTCTTATTTGTTTGTTTTCAATAGCGCTGGGCAGTTTTCCCTCCACAGTTAAATGAGTATTTGCACGGTACACCACGTTGTTGTGGGTTTCCTGGTTGGTGTCCTCCTCCCTCCCCCCCCCCCCCCCACCTCCTCCCTGGTAGGGGGATGGGGGTGTGGCGATCCCGACAAGATTTTTTTCAGCCCTGAGCCAGCCACCCCGGGCTGGGCTGCTGGGAGCTGAAAATAGCTCCGAGGCGCCCAGCGCGGCAGCACCACCCAGCAGCTGCGATCCCTGCGCTCCCTCATTCGCCTTCTCTCCTGCCTCTCTCCCCCGCCTCAGACTCTTGGATTGGATCTAACCCGAAACCCCTGGAGTTCAAGACCGGCTAAAAAAAAAAAAGGGCTCCATAAACAACCTCTGCATGTAGAAGCCACCGACGCCTGCTCCCCCTGCTCAGAGCCACCGGCCGCGGAGCCCGGCCGCCCTCCCAGAGGTAAGAGTTCTCCTTCTGCAGCCGCCTCATTGGCGCGGGGACGCTCCTGGTATAAATCGGGATAAATCATTCCCAGCCACAATAAGCGGGGGCTGCGAACGGTCCGTGGCAGCGGGAGCCTCTGTGCCTGGGGGTTGGGGGGATCCCGGGCCAAGGGGGAGCGATTGTAAACTTCTGCCCAGTGTGTCCCCCGCCCGAGCCTGCACCCCGGGACCTCCGGCCCCGACCCCACGGCCAGCCCTGCAGACCTCCCCGCGCTGGTTGCTCAGGCTGCTTACGGCTGTCTGCCTCCCTGCAGGCTTATTATTATTATTATTATTATTATTACTATTACTATTAAGGACAAAGATGCAATTGCCCGAGTAAAGAAAATCCATGAGTGGCCGTTCTTGAAGGGCAGGGAGCGGCTCTCCTTGCCTCCGTCTCTGGGTGGATCGCTGGGCGCTGTGCGTGCTCCCGGTGGGAAGCGGCGGTTTGCCGGCGGTTTGGTTTTTGGTGTTCCTGGCGGTTCGCCCCTCCGTAGGTGGGAGGATTCCTCTCCCGGGGAGTCCTGCTGGCCGGTTTGCTGGCAGGTTTCTCCCACGTGATGCCTCGATGCTCTGGAGAGCGCCCCGAGCCTCCTCCGCCGCCCCTCCTGTGCGTGCGCTCACCCCCCTGCCAGGGACTTTGATCTGTGGACTTGAACTTCAAACACAGCTTTTCACTTTGATTGCGGGTCTTCGCTGGGGTGGGGGGCGGAGGGGAGTCTTTTTGTTCGGTGCGTCCACAGCATTTCCTTGAGGTGATCTCTGGGGCTTTGGATCTCTCGCTGCTGCTGCTGCTGCTGCTGCTGCGTCTTGGGGTGCACTTGTAGGGAGACCCCCACCTGCACCCCCACCTGCAAGGGAAAGGCTCTCTGCCTGCCGGCCAGGCCCTCCCACCGCTGACCGGGACCTGGACCGGGACCAGGACGAATCCTGCTCCGCTGCCTCACAATCACCACGTGTCTCCGGGCCTAACTGTTGCCTTTTATCTGAACCCAGATATCCTTGATATTGACTGATCCTCGTTTCCAAAACAGCCTATTGATAAAGCAGATCGCATGTCCAAAGAAAGCATGCATTTTAAACACACGGTGATCTTCTGGGTAACTTAAATAAAAAAAAATAATAAAAAAAGGAGAAGAACAAATAAAAAGAAAGACAAGGAAATTTTTAAAAAGGAAAGCTAGGGAGGGGGGAAACCCCTTGGTAGCCAAAAGCCTGTGATGCGAGTGAAACTTCTGCTGAATGAGGGATAAGGGAAGAAAAAAAAAATCTATTTCCTAAAATAGGCCACGTAGCACTTTCTAGCCATTCAACCAACTTGTAGGTGTTTTCTTTAAAGGAGGTGTGTGTGCGTGTGTGTGCATGTGTGTGTGTGTGTGTGTGTGTGTGTGTGTGTGTGTATTATACTTGTTTGTTGTCCTTTTCTTCCTCTCCCTCCTCCAGGCAGGGGGAGGGACTTGTCACAGTCCTCAGCCAGACCCTCAGTGAGCCTTCCCTGGCAGACTGTCCCCACCTGCGGAAGGTTAGGGCTGGAAGGAGCCCAGTGCCAGCAGGGGGCTGGGTAAGTCCCAGGCCAGGACTGGGGCTCCTGGGAGCTGGCACCAGGGCTCCCCACACTCAGCCCCTCGCTGGGAGGGAAGGAACTGGTGGCCACCGGACAGGACTGGGTTTCAGAGGAGGGGAGCTGGGGAGAAGGCTAAGGGAGCGGTTCCTTGGGATCAGGTGCCATAGAGCCTCTGGAATGTGGACCAATACCGTAGTAGGAAAACTCAGAGACGTTCAGTCCAGTTTTCATTCCCCAAATCTGGACATTTAATTGCTAACCCCTCACCACCACCCCTTCAAATCTGCATTATAAGGAGCATATATTAACGGTCACATTTCTGTGGTGGGTCAACATTTTAAATCCTCCAGTTATTTTAAGCGTGTCCTTCCCTGCCTTTGGGGGACTAGTATGCCCCTCCCCACCCCCCCTTAGTCCTGGGGAGCTCTGATGTGGCATCGCTGAGTGCAAATGTCCTGTCACAGCAACACAAGCTCAGGGGCAGAGTCCAATGGCCCCAGGATGACATGGGTCAGGAAGGTGTCAGAAGGCCCATTCCCCGCTCGGTGGGCTAGCCATTGTCTGCTGTGCTGCTGCTGCTGCTGCTGTCCTGTTTCTTTGTGTCTCTTCGCCCCTTTGTGTCTCTTCCTCCGGAACCTTGGACGGTTTGAACGTGAAACTGCAGGTGAAAGCTCGCCAAAGCCACCAGGTTTCACACCGCTTCCTCATGAAAGAAGGATTCCACCCGGCCTCCCTCGCTCGAAACTTGGCCCGTGTTTTGCCCAAAGTTTCATGCATGTCAGCGAGGCTGGATCCGAAACCTAACCCAGAGCCAGGTGACTTCCAGGGACGTGGAGGCTTCCCAGTATGAGGACAGAACCTGCCAGGCAAGGCCGTCGCTCATTTTCACGCCTCCCGTGCCCCTGCATGGGCACACACATTTTTTTTTCCCCCGCCAAGAAACTCCCATTTGTTCTGTGACATTGAAAGCCAGGTTCAATCCCAAGACGAGTTTTTATAGCTGTGGTATTTAAGCATTGGCAACCCTTGAGCCTGCATTTTAAATTCCTGCGCAGCCTGCGCCGCAGTGGTGTGAACACGTCGGTATAATTCAGCTGGAGGAGGTCCGTGGGGAACCATGGAACGCCGTTCTTTGCTTACATATACCTCTGTGCCCGCAAGGAACAAACAGTAACATTTTGTCCTGGTCCGGCCACTTGACAGTATGCTTTTTGTTCGCGCTCCAAAGGTGGTGTCAAATATATTGGTGGAAAAAAATAATAAACTTCCAGCTAATTTTTTTTTTTTTTCCCGCCTGCTCCAGTGATATACGCCTAAGGAACATTGTAAGCATTGAACACTTCGGTACTGTTATTTGTAATGCGGACTGGGAACAAAGGGGTCCTCAGCAGAGTCTATTTCCCTCAGAAAAGGGTGGGGACTCAGAGCCCGCGTGTGTATTGAATGGTCAGCCTGGCCAGGTTGTGAAGGTGTGTGTTCTCTGGTGGAGGTGGGTGGAGAGGAAAAGGATTTGTAAAACTGTGTTCGGCAAATCTGTCACGTCTAGCATAAAAATAATCAAGCCCAGGATCCAAAAACATTCCTTTCTTTTGTTGATCTTCTAAGTTTATGTTGGCTGAATGTTGAATTTTGGGAGGTATTATTATTATTATTATTATTTTATTGAGGAAGCAAAGATTAGATTCTGATCATTAGGTTGAAATGAACTCATTTGAAGACTTTTCATAAAAATACTCAATGGGGAGACCTACGGAGTTGTAAAAGAAGTTTCGAGAGCCAGCCTCAGAAAGACTAAGAGTTGATGTGTCATGTGATTAATTGGAGAGTTTCTGAACACATTTGAAGAATTTTCTTAAAAATAAATTTGCGACCGCACTAAAGATTTAGTCAGACCGAATATAGTGACGTTTATATTGTAGATAGTTATTTATTACAAAATTAAATTATGAAATGTGATTTTGAACATTCTGTAGTCAGATTTTTGTTTAATAAGCTAGACTACTGAAGATGCAGTTTGCATTTTAGCAGGTGATTAGCAAACTGACTGTCACTGATCCCGTACTACGTAAAGCATTTGAAAACTCACAATAACAAAATGTGTAGGAGCTGGGCTTTAACACCAACTTCACTATTCATTGCATAGCACTTACCGACATATCTGATTTTTATATCCCAAAGCTAGTGCAATGAGTAGAGGAGAAGAAGATACTCAAATGGAGGTGCTAGAGAGAAACAAGAGAAAACAATCAGGACCATCTTGCAATGGGTTCACTAAACACATAAAGGTGGAAGGAGCTCAATATTTTGAAAACAACCATAGTCCAGGTTGGTTGGGAAAGAGAAAGGGCGAAATACCAGGTGGCAAAAGACACCAAACTTGTGCACATGCAAACCTCCTTTACATCATAACGTGATCTTCTTTCAAAAATGACCACACTGATCATTGAGAATGCAAAAATCCGTCTCTGACACATCTTCTCTTGTGCTTAGTTTACTGTCAGAAAATGGAGTCCGTATAACGCTTCTCCATTCCACAAGGATATATTATTAAAACTTAAATGTATAGACACATGGCATCTATGTTCTTATAAAAAAAAATTTCATATCCCTCTGATCAGACCATGATGTCACAAAAAAAGTCCTCCTCCTTTTGGTAGACCGAAGAGGATTATTTGCCTTAAACAGATAAACCATCATTTCTAGGAAAGTCATCATGCTCCAACTAAACCTTTATTTGTTATTTGGATGTTATCATTTTCTCTGAAATAATGCTTTAATCACTACAATGCCAAAACACCTCAATGATCCCAAAGCTCTCTCACCTACCCAGGGTGGACTGTCAAAAAGATGTGGGCGTTTCTTGTAGGTTTATGCGTAGACAGTGTTGTCTGGAGACAGGCCCCCTAACGCCTCTCTCATCCTGAGCTCTGTCATGGAGAAGGAGACCCTGGTGACCCCTGAGTCTCTCTGATCCCCAGGGGAAAGGGCAGCCCCCTGGGGCTTGAGCTAAATAAACCAGAGAACTAAGAAGGCAACTCCTCTTTCCTCTGTATTTGGACTGAGGCCTTCCTACGTCTCTTGCTCTAACTTTTCTTTCCCTCATGGCATTATCCCCTCTTTTCTATTATTTACACTTCTCCCTCTTTTTTAAAATAAAGATGTTTAACTGATTTTTAGAGGGAGGGGAAGGGAGGAAGGAAGGAGGGAGAGAAACATTGCAACCTGGGCATGTGCCCTGAACGGAAATTGAACCGGCAACTCCTCAGTGCAAGGGAGGAGAACCAACCAACGGAGCCACACCAGCCAGGTCTCCACTTCTCTTATTCTGACAGGAACTGAAGTCTTCCCTGCAGACTTCACCATCCTTGAATTGGAGGAGGAAGGAGCCCCACGGTCTCGAGCTCTGCGGG